AATCTATTCTTAGCAGTTGGGCTGGTGACTTCCTTGCGGATGGACAGTGAGTGGTAGCAGGGGCCACAGAGGAGGCTGCTGGGGATGGTCACTCTGTGTCTTGACCCGGTGTCTGCTGCACCAAGAGTGAGGTTCGTGAAAATGCATCAGGCTCAACACGTAAGACATGGCACTTTTCCTCTGGGACTCAGTGTGAGCGTGTGGTCTGGCTTAAACTCTGGTCTAAGAGAACTATGAGGGGTGACATTACCTCTAGGACTCTGTAACGCAGGCTCCAAGTCCGGGAAGGAAAGGCAGAGGAAAGGCCACATCCCCTGTACTACCACCATTTGGCCAGCAGATGGCACTGGTTGTAGACAGGATGGAGGCGCTCCCACTTCTTCCACCTTTGGGCTGATTTCTGTAAAACCTGGGAACTGGGCGGGGAGGAGGGCAGAGGTAGCCTGGTTGAAAGCCAACAGGTGTCCGTCTGGAGGCAAGGGCCAGCAGAAGGGCCACTGAAGCTATGCGCTCTGGCTGACCCAGTTAGGGTATAATCTAGACTAAAAATAAAGTGCTGCTGGCTTTGCAGTACAGGTGTGAGCACAGGTGTGAGGCTCAGAGGCTGGAGGGGGAGCAGCAGGTGATGTGGAAGCAGTCTCATGTGTGCGTCTGTGAGAAAGGCAGGTGTCGGTGGAAAGAAACAATCCTGGGGAAAGGTGAGATCAGCCTTTACACTGCAAGTCCACAGGTGACCGCTCCCGACACCTCCGGGGATGGTCGTGGGCTTCTGGTCTCAGATGCGCCCCATGAGGATTCGACAGCAAATAACACGGATAACATCGCTCTGTCTCTACAGAGAGGTGTGTCTTATGATGTGTCTGATTCTTCCCGAGATGCTTTGGGCATAGCATAGCAATGCTTTGTTTGTTTGTTTGTTTGTTTTGGTAACTGCTTTAAGATATAATCCACATTCACCCAGTGAAGTGTACAATTCAACGGCTTTCGGTATATTCACCATGATGCAATAACCATCATGACAATCGATCTTAGAACATTTTCATCACCCCCAAAAAGAAACTCCACACCCATCAGCAGTCACCCCCTGCCATTTCCCCTGCACTCCCCCGGCCCTGGGCAACCAATGATCTTCCCATCTCTACAGATCTGCCTGTTCTGAACGTTTCATATGAATGGAGTCATACATACGTGTGGTCTTATGTGTCTGGCTTCTTTCACTTAAGCATGATGTTCTCAGGGTTCGTCCACGGTGTAGCCTGTGTTAGCATGTCATTCCTTTTTTTTTTTTAAGTTTATTTATGTATTTTGAGGGAGAGAGAGACTGTGTGTGTGTGTGTGTGTGTGTGTGTGTGTGCACACGAGCAAAAGTGTGAAAGGGGGAGGGGCAGAGAGAGAGGGAGACAGAATCCCAAGCAGGCTCTGCACTGACAGTGGGCCTCGAACCCACGAACTGTGATATGACCTGAGCCAAAACCAAGTCGTACACTTAGCCAACTGAACCACCCCGGCACCCCCACTCTACATTCTTTTTTATGGCTAATGCTCCATTGTATGGATAAGCCACAGTGTATTTATTTGTTGGTGGGTTGTTTCCACTTTTCTGGCTAGAGGGAATGCGAACATTCGTGCTACAGCATATGAACAAATGCTATGGACATTTGTGTACAGGTTTGTGTGTGGCCATATGTTTTCATTTTTCCTGGCCATATTCCTAGGAGTAGAGTTGCTACTGACTCTGTTTAATCTTTTGAGGAATATTTGCCTTTAGTTTTTGTTTCTTTTAAAAAAATACTTATTTTTGACAGAGAGAAAGAGAGAGAGAGAGAGACAGAGTGTGAACCAGGGAGGGTCAGAAAGAGGGGGAGACACAGAATTTGAAACAGCTTCCATGCTCTGAGCTGTCAGCACAGAGCCAGACACAGGGCTTGAACTCATGAACTGTGAGATCATGACCAGAGCCAAAGTCGGATGCTTAACTGACTGAGCCACCCAGGCGCCCCACCTTTAGTATTTTTAAAAAAATTTTTTAATTTTTATTTTTTTAAAAAATTTTAAATGTTTTATTTATTTCTGAGAGAGAGAGAGAGAGAGAGAGAGAGAGAGAGAGACAGCGTGAGTAGGGGCGGGTCAGAGAGAGAGGGAGACACAGAATCTGAAACAGGCTCCAGGCTCTGAGCTGGCTGTCAGCACAGAGCCTGACGTGGGGCTCAAACCCACGAACCACGAGATCATAACCTGAGCTGAAGTCGGACACTTAACCGACTAAGCCACCCAGGTGTCCCTAGTATTTTTTTTTAAATCTCTGCGCCCAATGTGGGGCTCAAACTCGTGACCCTGAGATCAAGACTCACACACTCTACCCACTGTGCCAGCCTGGCATCCCTACCTTTAGTTTTAAGTACAAATACAATTCAACCATCTTTTTTATTCCTTGATTCCTTTAACAGAAGGTTAGAAATGTCATTTCTATTTCTGTAAGTGGGGGAACTGGGGCCCATGGCACTCTAAGGGAAGCAAATAACAATAGCTACCATTTGTGTCGAGTGCGGGCCGGTGCCAAGCACTGTGTGAAGCGACCTAGCTGCAGTAAGCCATTCCAGCCTTATGAGAGTCCTAGGAGGCTGCTTTATATTTATCTCCATTTCCTGGTTAGAAAATTAAGTGTTCTGAACAAGGCCATATGGTGGTGTGGTCCAAGACCTGACCCCAGTTCGATCTTAACTCAATTTTAGGCTCTCACTGGCTCCCTATGCTATTGGGCGGACTCCAGAGGGTCAGTGAATCTCTCCTGAGCTTCCAGCATCGTAAGGTTTACCTGACATCTTCTGCTTGACCTGTGCCACACAGGATACTCTGGACCACCCTTTGCTCTCCTTTCTTCTTAGTCTCCCTGGGTCTTCCACTGGCTCTTCCCTTCCTAATGGCTCTTCCTACCCACAATTTCCACCCCTTCCACATTGCCAGAATGATTTGTCGAAAACACAGATCTGGTCAAATCACTCAAGATACAATTCTTCACATTCTCCATTACTACTGAAGCAGATCAAGTTCTATACGTCATACACTGGTCTATAAGACCCTCCTAATCTTTCCCCACCCACTGCTCTCCCTCTTCATACCCTACAATCCAGCCATAAAAAACTGCTTGCATCTCCCCAGAAGCACCTCCATATGTCATTTCCCTGGAACTTTGCATAAGCAGCTCTCACTGCCGGGAGTGCTTTTCTCCACTTCTTTTACCTGGGGGATTCTTACACATCCTTCATGCCTTATCTTAAATGTCTATCTCCTCTCTAAAGCTTTCCTCATCTGATGGTTCCCTCCCTGACCTCTCAAAACACCTTGTTTTGATGTCTTCAACACAGACTTTTATATTCGTCTCCCTAGCTGGACCGTGTGCACTCTGAGCATAGAGACTGGGCTTTATTTCATTCTGTATATTTCCAGGCATAGACCAAAAGCTTGCATGGTTGAACGAGCAAATGAATAAATGTTCTATATCTGCGATGTCCAGTATGGCAGCTACAAGCTACATGTGGCTAAGGAGCCCTTGAAATGTAGCTGATCTCAAATGAGATCTGTTTGAAATCTAAAAACACACTGGATTTCCTATATTTAGGGTGGGGAAAAACATAAAATATCTCATGGGTAATTTTTATATTGATTAAATACTGAAAAATAGTATTTTGCATGCATATTGGCTTAAATGAAATATATTAGTAAAAGTAACATCACCTGTTTCTTTCTGCCTTTTTTAAAAAGTTGATTTATTTATTTTGAGAGAGAGTCAGAGACAGAGTGAGCGGGGGAGGGACAGAGAGACAGGGAAACAGAGAAGCCCAAGCAGGCTCTGTTCCCACTGCCAGCGCACAGGCCTCTGTGGGGCTCAAACCCATGAAACTGTGAGATCATGACCTGAGCTGAAACCAAGAGTCAGATGCTTAACTGACGGAGCCACCCAGGCGCCCCACTTTCTACTTCTTTTTTTTTTAACGTGGTTAGACGTTTTAAAATTACATATGTGCTTGTTTCTCAGCTTCTTTCAGTGTAAACCATTTTCTGCACGGCAATCAGAATAATTCCTTAAAATGTCAACTGAATCATAAACAGTTGAGTCTCATTATTAGTGATAGTTGTATTCTATAAAGTCACTGTAAACACTAAATTAGCGAATATTGAACTACCGCTCCTATGGGAAATACAGGGTAGGGTTTCTGCCAGCATCCGGTCATATTTGCATTAACTGATCAGCATATAACCATGTTTTGTGGGTGTTTCTATTTAAAGACATCTTATTTACTATATGCTGCTGATTCGGTGACACTGAACTAACAGCCAGCAGCACTGTAACTTATAACGGAAACAGTTTTTCTAATTCAGGTGTTTTCTCCTAAAGGCACATCACAGCCTTTCTGTGCTTAGCAACACTGGACAGTGCTTGGGGGCTATACTCAAGGACCATTTTAAACAGCACAATCACCCCAAAAAAGCACAAAAAGGCAAAAGACGTGGCACTAACCATACACAAAGGCACGTGCTCACAGTACGAGAGTTAAAGCAGAGGGCTGCTTTATCTGACCTCAGCTTGGACACTGCACCGGGCATCTAAAGCCTTTCCCACTCTGTACACGTCCGCCGAACAGCACCGTCTCAGGAAGCATCGGCTGACTAAACGAAAGAAGGGAGGTGCACCTTGCTCGGATGCATGCGCTGGTGCTCGGAAGCTGGGCGGGAGCGTCAATTGGGTCCTTCCACTATCTTCCTGCTCCTCTTTGGCTGGACACATCCACCGGCCCTCCCACGTGTCCGGCCTTCGCCGAAGCTCCTCCGCTCACCCTCACTTCACCAGCGACCGTCACGTGCGCCCGAGGCCCCGCCCCGCGCTGACCTCATGGCTCCGCCCCCCACCGTGACGCCCTGCTCTAAAGCCTACCCGCCTCCTTCTGACAGACGCGCGACGGCGAGCTGCGGAGGTAGCTGTTCCTGCTGCTGCAGACGCAGCGGGTGCCACGGGGTCGGTGAGTCGCCTCGACCGCTGGAAACAGCGTCCCAGGGAGCCCCCTGGGAGCAGGGCTGGACGCGCGCAGCACCGGGGGGGGAGGGGGAATGACCTCGGACCGCGGAGCCCCCAGCCCCCGCCTGCGGCGCCTGCGCGGTGCATGTCGGGCACTGTGGTCACCCCGACCAGGGGAGCGCGTCTCAGGCACACAGACGGACTACATCTCCCAGCGACCTTTGGGCGGGCGGGGGGCGGCGTGCGCGCAAGGCCCCGCGGGGCTGAGGGTCTTGTCCTCCCAGCGACTGGACCCAGGCCTGTTTTCGGCGTTCGCTCGGCCTCGGGCGCCCGGCCTCCCGAGGTAAAGGGTCCCCGGGGACGGCGCAGAGGGAACTGATGCGATCAAGAGCGGCCCTCGGGGTTTTGACGTCGCACCGTCGCTGGGTTGGTCGGCCCCCCGCGGGGCTGCGGTTCCAGCTTTGCCAGGCCCGGGCGGGCGCCGGGGCTCGGTGCCCTGGGGGTTGCCAGCCCGCTTCTCGGGGTCCCGCTCATCATCTCTCCCACATCCCCTGTAGGGAAGGTTGGAGAAATACCGTCTCCGGCTTTCCGCGGCGGCTGTCTCCTCGAGGAAAGGGGGTCGGGAGCAGGGTCCTTGTGACAGAAGCCCCTGCTGAGCTCCTCGGTGACCTTGGCAGGCCCGAGGGGCCCGCGCGCCTCCCCCTCCCGTCCTCGCTTGCCGACGTCTGTAAATCTCCGCGTCCGCTCCGGGCCCGCAAGCGTCTGGGCCGGCAGGGAGTCATTGACCTGGCCTGGCTTTCAGTGTGGCTTCGTGCCGTCGAGGACCTCGGTGTAGTTGAACTCACAGCTTTTTCGAGCCCTGCTCTGGGCACCTGTTCGTGGGTGTGCGTTTCTGTTTTCTTCTGAATGTTCCCAGGAGGCTTCTCAACAGGTGTCAGGTAAGGAGCTAGCGGCTCAGAGTTTCTCCAGTGTGGGTCTGAGATCGTCTGCCTCAGAATCACCAGGGCCTTTGTTAGAAGGGCTGATTCCTGGGGGCCGCTCCCCCCCCCCCGTTTCTGATTCAGCAGTTATGGGATGTGGCTAGGACTGTTTAATAAGCTCCCCAGATAATTCTCAGTCACGTTTGGGGTTGAGAAGCTTTTTCCTAAAGAGAAGAGGATGGAGGTCCTGGGGCACAGCATTTATACCAGGTTTGTACTATCCTGGACCCTGCCTCGGGGCTGGCTGTGTCTGGGCAAGTGTGACCGCTCTCCTTGGCACATTGTTTCTTTCCTCTGGGCTGAGTTAGGAGTTGGGAGGAAGGAAGTATGCCAGCTCTGTCTTGCCCTCAATCCCCGCATTTAATCATGAAGAATTTGAAACATACCTAAAAGTTGAGGGAACTTTACACCGAATGTCCATAGACCACCACATAACGTTTAGAACATTTTATTGGATTTTATCATAGATCTAACCAACAGGCCGTCTTGTTTGTTTACGTGCGTCAAAGTAAGTGGGGACATCAGTCTGTCTCCCTCCCAAATAGTTCAGCATGTATATAACAGAGGCTTAGAATTCTTGCATGTTGTTTTTTAAGTAACTGAAGCCCTGGATTTTGAAGGTTTATCTCTCTGTCTTCCATCCCTAAGGAGCTAAAGGAGTTTGGAGGTTTTTCCATAGGATGGGCCTTTGGAACCAGGAAAGAACTTTACACATGCTCTTACAAAGACTTGAAAACAGTGGGCCATGGCTCTAAAATCACTAAGAGCAGAAACATGGGATGTGGGATGTACAGTAATATGTCAGGGAACACAGTTGTTTTGAGGGGGCACGAATGAAATGTATCCTAATAGATTGCCCCAGCAAGTCCTGCTGGCAGCGGATGATATGTTGTCAGCCTGAATACTGTGTCTCTGCTCTTTACAGTGTAAGCTTGCCTGGTGGGAGCCTGCTAGTTCGGTGCGTTTTCTAAAGTTCCAGGGGAGCAGGGCCGCGTAGCCCAGTTGACAAGCTTTGAGTCCCCTGGGCTGAGGTGCTTTGTTTTGTAGCCACGAACACCACCCCCTAATCCTTTTTAGTTGTCTGAGGCGGGGGGGGGGGGGGGGGGGGGGTGACAAAGAGACAGGTCCTGTGGAAATTTGTTTCCAGTTTCAGAAACACTATTCAGAGGGCATGCACATCTTTTTATTCGTGGAGGACAAAGGGGAATGTGGCGGTTAGAGTCATGGCACCTTGTATTGATGTCTGTGTCCTTACATGAAGGAAAGCGGTCACGCTGGTGAGAAGACAGCATGCAGGGGGAGCTCAGCACATAATGTGGGCCCTCAGTGGGGAGGAGAGAGGAGAGCCAGGCTCACAGGGGAGGAGGGAGGCGAAAGCTTTATTATGCCTACCCAAAGGGACTTGGAAATGGAGTGTACAGAGTGGGAGCGTGCCAGTTTCTAGAACCCCACAGGCGGCTTCCGGCTCCCCATCCCTGCAGTCGGGTTTCTCCCAGGCACCTCTCCCCAGGAGGTGGTAGAGGCTGCATTGCAACTGAGTGCTGCAGAGGAGAGGGCCGCTTGGCCTGGGCCTGTGGCAAAGCCTCTCCCCCAAGAGGGCAGCCCACCCAGAGAGATGCGGGTCTGGTCGCTCTTGAGCCTGCAGATCAAGCGCCTCTCCTGCTCTGTGAGTCATCGGGTTCTGGTGACAATGGTGGGATTCTGGGGCAAATGCTGTCTAGACTAGGCAGACCCTGCTGGAGGCATTTCTGTCACTTCCAAGCTGTGTGACTAGGCATTTGCCCTCCCAGAGCCTCCCTTTCCACATCTGTGATAGATGAAAAGCAACACCCCGGTGAGATAGACCTGTATCTGCTCATGCTGAAAGATTAGTGTCCCCTAATGTTAGACAAAGTAAAACCAGTACAAAACCATGCAGTGCAGGGTAAGGAAGTCCAGTGACATTCTGATTGCTTCCATAAAAGTGGTTGCGATGTTTTTGGTAATGTCAGATCAGTTTTCCAGAGAGCATTTCTCATCATCATTTTGGTGCTCCTAATCCGGGGGTACTGTGAGCCCCTTCGTGTCCTCTTCATGGTCTGGACCCTGAGAGCCCCAGCACCATTGATTCTTACCACATGGAGTTGTCATGGAGGTCTAGTAAAAACTGGGGATGTGTTGGATACATAATGTGCCCAGTAAGTGTTTGTTCAGTCTGAATTCAGATCTATTCCAGTGTCTGTTTTCCCTTGAAGGAGAAATAGAGACCAGAGAAGGCAGAAGGAGGTAGAGTGGGCTGGAGTGATGTCTTGGGGTGGGGTTAGGGGGAGAATTCGAACCATTTGTTCTTCCAGAAGGAAGTGAAACTCCTCACAGTTCTAATCACTCTTAAGAGCAAAGTTCTCACAGGCTGGGAAGGCAGCAGCGAATGCAGCCGTGTTCACGGGAGTGCTCCTTATACCTGCTTTGGGCCCACCCGGCAGCACCCACACCTATGTTCCATCCTTGCAGCATCAGGGAGGCCGCACAGGTCTCCGTCCCAACTGAGGAGTGATTTACTGAAGATCACGAGATACCGGCACAGCAGACTGGAGGGAGCGAGGCTGAGGGGAACCCGGGCTGTCCCGGCCTCATCATGAATAGTGCTCCAGGGCATTGACTGTGACTCTAGAAAGGGGGTCTTCTGGATTTTTGGCCATAAACAAAGTCCCTTTCATCAGGAAGTCAGGGACTCCATCTCTGCCGTGGCTGTGTTCTGCCCCAGTGGCTGTGGGTGGTGGGCGTTTGGGCCAGGAATAGCATAGGAAGCCTGGTTAGGCCAACCCCAATCCTCACCAACTCGCTTATTCAGCATACCCATGCCAGGGGCTTGGCAGGTCTGCAGGGACATGAGTGGGAGAGCTCCCCACTCGTTGCTCTGGTTGGGAGGTGAGTAAAATGTGAAGGGAGTCACAGGGAAGGCAAGGGGTCAGGGGAGGCGTGTGGAGGTTGAGAAGGGGTCTGTGTAAGGTCCTTTGGTAGGGGTGCAGTTTGGTTTGGTTGGAGAAGAGCAGATTGCAGTCTGGGTGGCTACAGGAGAGAGATGTGGAACATGGGGTCAGGTCTAGACTTCTCCCCTTAGGCCTTGACCAGTAGATGAGAAAGTGGATCTCAGACCTTTCTGAACCATGGCATTGGCAGGACTTGCCAGAGCAGGGCCAGAGAAGAGTCTGGAACACCTCTCAGACATCCATCTTGGCGACTGGGGCTACTGCTAATGACATAGGGCCTTCGGGTTGGGGAGGAGCCCCTGCCCAGAGTCAGCCCGGCTGCATTACTCATCCACCCTGTCAGCCAGTATTTGACGTGCTTCCCAGAGCAGTGGAGACACTGGCCCCAGACCCCTGTCCGTGCCCTCTGGGAGCTGCCGGTCCTGCTGGCGAGGCTGAGCCCTTGACCACAGTGTTCTTGTGCTCTCTGCTCGTTGTGACTCAGGTGTCTCAGGCCTGGAATCCCTGCCCTCCATTCTGCACCTGGAGCACCTGCCTGGGTTCTCCTTTGGGTTTTGCTCAGTACCTTTTGCAAATTCTTCCTAAGTGTGAGCTGGCTTGCTCGCTGGATCTGCAGCTGCCTGAGGGCAGGGACCACAAAGTGAGTGACCATCATAGAGCGGCCCATGAAATGTTAGCTGAATTAAGGAGTCAAGAATCTGAGTCTTCAAACAGGTGGTCCTTGAAAGAAGGAAAAGACAAACAGAGTGACAGCCGTGCTGAGTAACAGCGACCCTTCCCAGGCCTGGGAGAGTGTGCACTGCTCCAGGCTGAAAGGCCCCCTCTCACCCCTCCTGCGGTCCTGGACTCTGGGGCATTCTGTGCTGTCTGAGGCTCAGGCCTCATGCATCGCTGCCTGACAAACTGTAATCTTCACCTATTTCTGTGTTCTACCTCCCCCCAGATGTGAGGTCTGTTAAGACAGAGGTCTTTCCCCGTCTTCAGGGCCTAGGTAGTACCTGGCTCATAGGTGTGCTGGGTACTTATGTGTTGAATAAAATCGCATACTGTGTCTG